AGGGCCTGGTACCGCTCCCCAGCTGTCGACAGCAGGGCAGTGTCGTGTCCAGTTCTGCAGGGGGAGTCCGCCCTCCAGGTGCAGCTGCGGGGTCTCCAGAGCCTCTCTCCTTGGCTCAAGCGTGGCCACCTCCTCCCTGTGTCCTCTCATGACCCCTCAGTCAGATTCATGTCTGAGTCCTATCGTCCTCTTCTCCTTAGGGCCCCGGTCAGACTGGGCTGGAGCCCACGTGTGTGACCTCGTTTTAACATGGTCGCCTCTGTAAAGACCCTGTCTCCTAATGTATTCAGCCTCGGAGGTCCTGAGGCTTAGGACTCCACACAAGAGTGTCAGGGACCTCAACCTGGCCCATAGTGCCTGGTACTGGGACGCTTAGAGCTGAGTCTCCATTCTCCCCTCTGCTAGGGCAGAGCTCGGGGCAGTCCCACCTGGCTGGGCTGGCACACAGAAGCCGTTGCTGGTGAGGATGCACGAGGACCATGGAGCACCTGGGCCAGTCAAGAGGAAGGGCCAGGAGCCAGCCGTGGGCACCAAGGGGACCCAGAGAGACTCTGGAGACCCATTGTCCTTCGGTTCAGCGTATGCACACTGACCACACACAGCATATACCATGCATGTTACACACATCCGCACACTCATAGGCACATACACACCACACAGACGCACAGCCAGACCGGCCAACACACACACACACATGCACACATACATGACACTTGGACACACACACACAACACACTGAGACACCCACATACCACACAGACACACACCACATACACACAGACATACCCGCCCCCACACACGCACCTCACCCACAGGGATGCATATGGTTGCACACCCACCATATAATCACATCTCACAATACCACACACAGACACACGCACGCACTCGTGCTCACACTTCTCTCAGTCTTACTGCAGGATGCGATGTCTGGGGTGATGGGACGGGGGGGGGGGACGGGGTGGCAGGGAGGACAGGGACTGAGGGGTCGGACTGCGTCTGCAGCCTGTGGCCTCTCACAGATCTGAGCAGAGCGCCATCAGCTCCCACACCTCATCCTCTGTTCCACGCCAGGACCCGCACTACCTGGCCCCCTCCCGTCCCCCTGCGCAGGGATCGAGGCCTCCCATTTCCCCGGACATCAAGATGGGATGGGAGGCAAGGGAAGGACACAGACCCAGGTGCCAAGAGCTCCTGCCCCTCACCTCAGCCTTGCGTGACCCCGTGGTTTCCGCGCCCCGCCCAGCTCCTCCCCACTGTCCTCTGTGCTCCTCGGAGGTGAGGCTCCTGGGAGGACCCATCCTGGTCCTGGACACCTTCCTGCAAAAGGTGGTCAGCGGCAGAACTGTGTTCTCCATGTGCCAACCCACAAGCCCACCAGGTTCCTCTCAATCAGGTGCGGTGGGACCAGGGCAGAGTCCCCACGTGATACCCACTGTGATGACCAGCAGGGTAGGGCCTCATAGCTCCAGGCCCTTTTCCCAGTCACGACCTCCCTGCACATCCACCATAGCTTCCTCTTCCGCTCCATTTCACAGACGGAGAAACTGAGGCCCAAGGAGGCAAAGCCACTGGCTCAAAGTTATATAGGGGCAAGTGGCAGAGCCAGGTGGGACCCAGAGCTGTCTGCCTAGTGTCCCTCCTTCCCAGACCCTCCCTTGGGGCCCCCTTCCCAGTAAGGATGTCTTCGGAGGGGGGAGGGGAAGCAAGGCCACAGGCTGGGGACTGGACTCTCAGGAATGGGGCTGAGATTCCTTCGAGTTAAAACACGTCATCCCACACGGCTGACCTCATAAATATCATTAGATCCTGCAGCACCCGCCCAGCCCGCCAGGTCCTGGACGAGAGGAGCTCTGTATCCTGTTCCCAGCCGCAGCAGGTGGAAATAGTGTGAACTAATGAAATATCACCAGCGAAGCTAACAGCTGAGTGCTGGTCCCCTGGCAGTCAGCGACGCAGAGACTGCTGACCCACACACGCTGGCCGCCATTCGTCCGCCAGCTGGGAGGCTCAGGCCGGCGTCAGACATGAGTAGAGACAGAGAGACCAGGCTCTGGTCCTGTCATGCTGTGTGACCTTGCACAAGTGGCTTGGATTCTCTGAACCTGAGTTTTCTTCATCTGTAAAAATATGGTAACATATATATTGCTGGGACGGTATGGCAATGTCCAGCATATATATATGGTAACATATATATTGCTGGGACGGTATGGCAATGTCCAGCCGATGGCCATGTACAATATTAGGATCCAAGAGTCAGAAGAAGGCAATTAGCAATGTCTGCCCACCTACCCCTCACCTCGCCTGTGTCAGAGCAGAAATCCCTGCACTGGAAAATTCCACTGGCCACCACTACTACTTTTAAGCTGACCCTTAGGTGCCTCAGGGGCCAGAAGAGGGATGGGGTCTCAAGGCCAGAAAAGCCACCGTGGGTGTCAGAAAGAATCGTCTCAGAAGTGTGATACATGCTGTCACCAAGCTCAAGGAGGACTTGGGGACCCTCCCTGGTGCCTGGTACCCCTGATCACCCCGAGACCCATCTCCCTGACTGCTTTCTGGGCTCTGAAGACCAGAACCCTCAGCCCCTCTGTCCAGGGACTGTCCCCTCCCCATGCAGGCCATGACAGTGGCCAGTGTGGCAGTGATGTAGGATCAACCCTGGCTAAGCACAGCTCTGGACCAGGCTTCCATGGTGGTGGCCTCCCTTTCCCCCACTGGGGTTAGGAAATGCAGGTGACAGTCCTCTTGTGGCCCTCAGGGTGGCCAGTCAGAGGACAAAGCCAACGCAGTGCAGGGTACTGCTGGGTAACAGGGGCAGAGCAACCCGGGGGTGGATCGCCATACCTGACTGCCGGGGTTTTCACTAGTCGCATGAGTTACTATGTCGCCCCTGCCTCACACCAGCCTAAATCATGCTGCTCTCTCATCAGAGTCAAAACAGACTTGACCAATGGACTTATAATCTGGCACTAAAGCCCCTGTAAAATTAACCAAACTCATGAAACAAGGGAAGGCTGCTTGAGTTAGTACGGCAAAGGGAACGGGCAATGTTTCTGGACAGTGCGCGCAGGCTTTGTGCATGCCTATCCTGTGTCCCGGCTGTGGGGAATTCAGAATCAATCCCAGCTCTCCACTTATGCGTGTGACCTTGCACAAGTCACCAATCTCTCTCAGATTCTATTTCCTCAGTCCTCTGAGTGCTACCTAGGGTGAACGGAGGTAACACGCAGAAAGTAGATACGCAGTAGGTAGCATAGAGTGCGGTAGAAAGCAGCAAGAAACCTGGGTTTAAATCCTGACTCTGCGGCTGGGCATGGCGGTGCACGTCTGTAATCCCAGCACTGGGAGGCTGACGCAGGAGGATTGCTGCAAGTTCGAGGCCAATCTGAGCTACAAAGTGAGTTCAAGGCCACCCTGAACTGCATAGTGAGACCCTGTCTCAAAAAGACAAAAAACACAAAACAACACGGGTAAATTCTGTCTCTGCCCTGCAACCTCAGGCAAATTACCCAACTTCTCTGAACCTTATTCGTTCGTTAGTAAAACAGGAAAGGTATTTCCTGCCTCTTGAAAGGATATGAGGAAGGACCAATGGACCATGTGTGGTTTGTGGTCGTGACCGGTTGGAGCTGATCCATGCAGAGGCTGTCCTTGCCCTAGATCCTGGGATTCTCAGCTCCTGTGTTTCTTCCTGGGTTCCTCACCCTGTAACAGCACCAGCCTCCTCCAGGGAACCAGCCCTGAAAACTGAGTCATGCAAGACCTGTCCACCTGCTCATCCTGCAGCCCCCAGGTCTGGGAGATTCTCCCCTGCAGATGCCCTTTCATCTGTACATCCCTCTTGGTCACCAGTGTCATCATTCTGCCCAGCCTCTGGCCCCGGCCTTCCTAGCAGTCTACCTGTGTCCCTCCCATCCATGAAGCCGGTGGTCAGAGAGGGACATGTGGAGGCCGGGCATCCTTGGGGCACTGTCAAGGAATAGACAGTGCCAGCACTCTGGAGATGCTTTTTAAGGTTGGGTATGAGAAGAGGACTGATGCATGGGACTCATCTTCAGCACTGAATATTTGTCAAATTCATTCATTCATTCATTCATTCTTGCTTTTCAAAGCAAGGACAGTCATCTCGAATTCAAGACACATCAGAAACCCCTTCAAACAATGGCTCTTGTGCCATAAAAGTGCACGTGCCTGGGACAATTTGTACAGTTCTAAGAAGCCTGAAAGCTCTCCTGCGCTTAATGGCCAGCCCCTGATTCAGTGCACTTACAGGTGGGAGCCTGAGACACAAAGGAAGGGACATACACAGCATCTTGTCCTTCAAGCGTGGGTCACGGATCATCGTATCAAAGTGCCGACTCCTCTCCGAGCCCCAGATCATGGCTGGGGACAGCAGGGCCCTGAGCACCCTGCATCTCTGCCTGTCTCCCCAGCTGTGCTACAGCTTGCCATCAGAAAAGAGTGTCACGTGGGGACCTGCCCTGGCCCTGCATGTGGGACAGTACCTGTCCTGTTGTCTCCCTGGCCTTTTCTCTACTTTTTTTTTTTTTTGTCTTTTTGAGACAGGGTCTCTCTATGCAGTTCAGGCTGGCCTTGAGCTCACTTTGTAGCCCAGGCGGTTCTCAAACTCACAACGATCCTCCTGCCTCACCTCCCGAGTGCTGGGATTACAGGTGTGCGTCACCACGCCCAGCTCTTTCTCTTCCTTTCTTTGCAGACTCTGGAGGATGGAAACATTGCTGCTGTCCAAAGTGGTCGTGGAAGGCTTCGTGGAGGAGGCAAGCCCTGCCTGGGCCTCAGTGTTGGGTGCTGGAGGAAGGCAGGGGCCAAGGGTTATTAATAGGCCTGGCTCAATGGGCGCAGGGAGGGTGAATGTGATACAGACACTCAGCACCGTGGTTGGGGAGTACCTGACACCGGAAGGGGAGGGGGCCGGGGGCAGTGGGGAGCACAACCTCCCAAAATAGCCAGGACAGAGGCCTATTTAAGTGGTCCTCCCACCACCCAGCTCACTTCCCGCCGGACCTCCCACCAGCCCAGTTTCCAGTGCAGGCTCCAGCCCTCGCCCCCAGCCCAGGTGAGTGGCAGCCACAGAGGAGGATGTAGGGATGAGGCCAGCCGGAAGGGACAGCCAACTCTCCCCTTGGCGCCACTGTAACGGGGTTGGGGAGCTGCACTGGGGTAGCAGCAAAAGCCGGGGCTGAGAGTCTGGCTCTGCGCGGGACCTAGGCAAAATCCTTCCCATTGGCCAAACCTCAAATCCCCATTTATGCATCACAAGGGATGGAGGCAGACACCTGCGGGCTCTCTGGCTGCCATCAGAGGGGACCCAGAGGGCAGAGGGGAAGAAGGAAGGCGCACACAGGGCGGATGGATGGGCCTAATGGCACTGTCTGATGCTCTGCCAGGGGATTCAGGCCCGGACAGGGGGAGAGAGAGGGAGGACAGTGGGGAGGAGCCAGCCTTTGCCGGAGGCACGGTGTCGGGGGACTCCCAGGAGCCACTGTGTGACTCAGATGTGTGGGACTGGAGAGGACACCAGCGAGGCCCATTGAGATGGCCACTAGCTCCAAGTTAACGGACTCAGGGGTGGACCTTGCTCTGCGCTGCCTCGTGGTGTGTCCTTAGACCACTCACAGACCCTCTCCAGCCTCAGTTTCCCCACCTGTATAGCCTAAGCGTCCTGAGCTTCGGAAACAGATTCTCTGCCTAAGCATGGAGTGAGGGGAGCCCAGCAGCCCAGCACAAAACAGCCATTGGTCCACCCGGGCAAGGGGCAGCCACGGCTGGCAGGGCAGGGCCACTGCCACTGAGGGGCCAAGGGAGGCCTCATGCCCAGAGCTCTCAGGTCAGGAGCTGCAGCCTAGGTGCCTTGGAAGCTAGCTGGCCAGCGGTGGCATGAAGGGGCTGACTAACCGAGAAGAGCAGCTGGAGCAAGCCACTCCTAAGGTTTCCAGGAAGGGCAGCCATCCAGGGCTGAGCCAGGGGAGATGGTGTTGACAGCGAGTGTCAGGGAACTTGAGTACTGGGCAGCGGAGCGGCTGTCCCTGGTCCCTACCACCGAGGGCCACCACATTCCCTGTCCCAGCCCACCTGCCGGTACCTTAAGTTGGAGTCTCCAGGTCCCACTATGGGGGCCACCTATGCTTCCAGCACCACAGAGGCAAACAAAGCCCGGAGACAAAGGCGGTCACGGTGCACGTTCACATAGGGTCTTAGTGCAGCCCCTGCTCTGGGACCCAGGCCTCCTGCCTCCCTGCCCAGTGCTCACACATTCTCCAGATGGCTGATTGCAGACTGAATCCTTGGAAACCTCAGGGAAGGTGCAACTGGTCTCTGGCTGTATCAAGACAGGAAACATCACGTTTCACACAGGTGACATTCGGACCACAAAGCCTGGGTCTACAAAGAGTGGTCTGAAGGTGCGCCCTGCCCCGCAAGTGTATGTCAGCCTCCTGGGAGAGGGCAGAGGCAGTCAAGTAGCTTTCCACACCCCCACTGGCCCACAGAGGGTCGTGGAACAAGGGGAGCAGGGAAAGGAAGTAGTTAGTGGAGATCTAAGAGTGGGTCTTTGCCGGGGATATAGCTCAGTGGTACAAGCGCCTGCCTGGCAAGAGCAAGATCCTGAGTTTGATTCCCAGTACCAAAAAAAAAAAAAAAAAAAGAGTGGGTCTTTGAAAAGTCAAGTTAGCCAAAAACGTAAATGAATTAAATTAAATTAAATCGGGTTTCAGAATGTGCACCCCAGTCTGATGTGGGGTGGGGCTCTCCCAGCGCGTGGGCAGCTGCGGTCTGTCCCTCTCCCTGCCACCCGCTCCCGGTCCGGTGTGTGGGTCAAGTTTCTGCGATCTCAGCGCTTAGATTTTGTAGCATAAATTTGCATCCAGGACAGACAGGAGAGGAGGCTGAGCGTGGAGAAGAGAAAGCTGATTGAGGACCTGGGGGCCCACAGGGGTGCGGGCTGGCCCCCGAGCGAGTGTCCGGTTATCTTCCCCAAGCTGTAGGACACCTTCTGCGGCCGAGATCCGAGCCGCCTGAGTGCCCTTGACGGCAGGCGAACTCTGCAGCCCAGGCTGGCTGGTAGCGCGGGGCGCCGCCTAAATCTCAGAGGTTGCTCCCTGGCCAGCGAGCGCGGGCGCAGCCCCCGAGGTCCTGAGGACCAGGGCTGGGCGCTGCGGACGCAGGTCGGTGGCCCGCGCGGCGCGGCGGCGCGGCGGGACTGAGCGGCTCTGGCTGCGCGCAGAGCCTGGCGTCCCCTGGCGCGGTGCCAGGGCGGGCGGGCGTGCGCCTGGCGCGCGGCACTGCAGCGCTGGTCATATGAGCAGAAATGATGAGAAAAGCACTTTTTAATCTTTTCGCACTTGCTCTGCCCGCTCAAACAGTTGCAGGATGTCGATGACAGACTTGCTCAAAGCCGAGGACATCAAGAAGGCGGTTGGAGCCTTTGCCGGTGAGCTGCGCTCTCCCCTCCCCAGCCCTGTCCCCTCATCCGCCGCCTTCGCCCCTGCACCCTGAGGGCCCGCAGCTGGCCTGTCCTCCTGCCTTCAGATGCCCGTGCACCCTGCAGGGCGCTGGCGGGTCCGGGCGGGGAGGGTCCCCAGCATTTCCCAAACTCTGGGGCGGCAGGGACTTGGCCAGGGCGCAGCAGGGAGCTGGCGTCAGGAGCAACACAAACTTGAGGGCGCGAGAGGATGGCGGCTCTGGGAAGGTTGTGGGTCCAGGACCAAGGGCAAAGACCAGGGTCAGAGGAAGGGCCTTGAGGGGTGTCTTGTGCTGGCTGGAACTTCCCCTTTATGACATGTGGAGGAGGTGCGGGGCACACAGCTTCTCTGTGAGAGACCCCTTTTTCTCCACCTCCATTCTGGACAAGATTTACAGCTAGGGCTCCTTGTTGGACCCCCAGCTGTGCAGACTCCCCTCCCGGGGTTCAAGCCCCCATCACTGCCAGAGGCAACCTTCTGGAAGCTGGCACTGGGCTTTGCCCAACTTGTGCAGCACCCCACAGCCCCCCAATTCTCAGATTCCAGGAAGCGGAGCCACTGTCTGACCTCTTCTGGTTGCTCCAGGACCTCTGGGCTTAGCTGCCCCTCTTCCCACTCCCTTCACCCAGGTGGGGAAACTGAGGCTGGGAGAAGCTATGATACTTGTCCAAGGTCATCCAGCCTGGGGGACAGGGATTAGAACGGGGTGGTGTCCCGGTGGTGTTGGTCTCTACCCCAGTGCCAGAGGTGGACAGACCAACTTTCCTCCCTCAGCTCCAAGCAGAGGAGAAAACACCCCAACGGCCCCCACCCGCTCTACTGCCCTTACATACACAGGTCCACAGGCGTACTTTGTACCCACTCCTGGTTGTTTTAAAAAGGAGCTCATAAGATGTAGAAAATTGGGGGATAGGAGGGGCCCATTTCCTTTTTGCTTGGCACCTTCCCCTGGGCACAGAATGCTCTGGGAAGCCACTCTTCCCCGGCACTGTGTGAGCCAGCCACTTTGCCTGGAGCTACCTTGCCATCTCTGAGAAGAAACTTAGTGAGTGGCCGTGGTCTGGGGTGGGAGTTGGCTGGCACACGCAAGCACACTGTCACCAGAATGGATTTTTGCAGTAAAGCCGGGACTTCTAGGTCCTCCCCTCCTCCTCCCACTCCGTGACCTTGACAGAAACGTGTCCTCTCTGTGTTGATTTTCTAACAACCCCGTGTGAGGCCAGGAAAGAAGCCCCCCGACGCACACACCCTCCACTCGCACCAGCTTCAGTTCCCCCGGCCCACTCCCACCCCGCTACTGTGCAAGTACTTTGGGAAACCAAGTTGTCAGGAGGCCAAAGGCTTCTGTTTGGGTCTTTGATGCTACCCCAGTGTGTGGCAAAACATGCAGAGCAGGCAGGGCCCCGGCTGGAGAGGCAGAGGGGTCCAGGCATGAGCCCACCTCTTCCCCCATAGCACATGACCTTGAGGACACATCCTCCTCTTGCATGGACCCCGTAGCCTTCGATGGAGATGCCTTTCCCAGAAGCTACTCTAAAACTGGTTATCAGTGCCACTTTGACAACTCCCGTTCTCCCGCCCTTCCCTGAGGCCCCTTCTTTGTCCCCATCTTAACCCAAGCCTCCTCCCACAGCTGCCGACTCCTTCGACCACAAAAAGTTCTTCCAGATGGTCGGTCTGAAGAAAAAGAATCCAGATGAGGTGAAGAAGGTGTTTCACATCCTGGATAAAGACAAGAGCGGCTTCATTGAGGAAGAAGAGCTGGGGTAAACTGAGGCTGGCAGGGGGATGGTGGGGGGACGCACTCTTGCTTTCAAATCCACATCGGAGCTGCCCCTCTCCCTGTACCCTTCACCACAGACAGGGCTGAGACCCAGGGCACCGGGGAAATGGTTCCCAGCCCTGATGCTTCCGGAAGAACCAAAGCCTCAGCTCAAAGTGCAACTAACTAGGTTAAATTATAGCCACTTAATATTGCTAATGGAATGATGCTGCTTAATAATTCAATACAAATGAAGAGGCAGTTGCCCTCGCTGCACCAGGACAAGGCAGAGGCCCTCGGGATGGGATTGCATTGATTTCCAGCTCCACCATCCTGCAGCCCCCACCTCCTCTGGACCAGAGCTTTCAGAGCCATCTCTGGGCAAGCTCTGGGGATGCAGGGGTCTGTGGGATGAAGCAGGGAGGAGGAGGCTAGGGCCAGGAAGCGCAACACTGATTCTGCACAGAACCCGCCCTTGTCACCTGCCTTAGCCACCTGGCCCACGTCTGCCAGCCCAGCTGTGCCTTATGTCTCTCTCTGGCCAAGGCTGCCTTCGAATTTGTCAAAAAGAGACAGAGAAGGATATGGAGAGAGCCCTTCTAAGTAAGAGCCTCTCCCACCTTTCCTGTCTCTGCCTGGAACCTCCTCCTATCGGCCCCACACCACGAGCACACACAAACACATGCGTGTGTGCAAGCACACACACATACACACACACATGTGGGCCAACTCCTCCCTGTCACCTTCTCCAGGAGGCCTCCCCCACTCTCCTCTGAGCGCCCTCAGCTTCTGCTATCAGAGTACCCATCACTGCGTGCGGGTGCTCTGCGATACGTGACCTCCAGCCCTCTTATGCACGTGGCTTTCTGAGATCACCACAGTGTCCCCAGCCCCCAGCATAGCCTGGGCATACAGAAGACATTTAGTGGGCATTTGTTGAGTAAATAAACACCCGCAGGCGCGCTCCCTGAAGTGAGGTGGTCCCTCCTCGGAAGACAGCTTGTCCTTTCCTCACGCATGCAGACCAGGCTACCTGGCCAGCCCAGCTGTACACATGCCCGCTGCTCGCTGCCTGTCCCGGCTGCCCCTTCTACACGCAGATGCCAGCCCGCCATCCACACGATGCTCCTGCAAGGTGACCTTGGCCTGACTACCTCTCCCGCTTCCTCCCTTTCCTCCCCCAGATTCATCCTAAAGGGCTTCTCCGCAGATGCCAGAGACTTGTCTGCTAAAGAAACCAAGACGCTGCTGGCCGCTGGAGACAAGGATGGGGACGGCAAAATCGGGGTTGACGGTGGGTGCCGTGACCCGGGCTCCGGGCGGTGTGGGTGCTGGGATGCTTGGATGCTGGAAGTCCAGTTATGTCTGTCACAAGGAAGGGGAGGTTAGGATAGGAAAGGCGGGGTCGGAGAGTTGTGCCATATAGCCAGGCAAAAGGGAAAAAAATACCAACAGTGCTATATTTTTCTAAATTTGAACAACCCAGGAAGAATGGATTCTTTTATTTTTCTTTCTTTGTTCCCCTGCTGAGTAGGGGGGGTCAAGGAGAACTTGGGATTTTCTCTGCACTTCACCTAGGTTCTGGTCCAGGCTCTGCCTATCCCAGCTGTGTGACCTTGGGTCGTCTTTCTCCTTCTCTGAGCCCAAGGCTCCCGTCTGTAACCCTAGGAGATGAGGCCAGCGATCCCCAAGGCCACTCTGGCTCTCAGTATCCTGTATCAGGGATGGAAATTCCTTATCTCTCTCCCTCCTCAGCATCTCATCCTGGTGTGCTGTAACCTCGAGTCTCAAGATAGGTTTTGGTGTCACTCAAATAGTCCATCCCAGTCCTGTAGGAGGGCCAAGAAAAGCAACCAGCCAGGAGCCCGCTGGGAATTAGGAGGTTTGCTTCACAAACTTTGCTCTTAGTGAGCACAGGGGCGGAGCTAGCAGTCCTTCATCCCACGTCCTTGTCCATCTGGTCCTACCTGCCATTTGTGGGACGCATCCTGGGGTTGTCACTGATGTCTGTCTTAACATCATGCGTCTTACAGACACGGATGCTGAAAGTGCTTAGCGTAGTTCAGGGAGCCAGGACATGGCGGGGGGCCAGGGATTTAGAACCAGGCCCACGTATATCTTTACAGCCTGTTCTGTCACTATGTACTCCATCCTGGGCCTTTCTGGCAACTTGAGAGAAGACTGTATGTAGCTGTCTTGGGGTTCAGACCCCAGCCTTTCTAGCCACATGACCTTGAGGAAGTTGCGTAACTGCTCTGGGCCTCCGCCTTCCCATCTCTCGACTGTGGTAATGATACTTCTTATCCCATAGGGTTATCATGAGGATTAGATGTGTGCTTAGAACAGATGCACCACAGAGCGAGGGCTCCCTGTGTGTCTGCTGGTTAAATCAAAATGACATCGGGACTAGATTGCATACGTCCTTTCACCCCCACCATTAAGCAGTACCTGACACAAACTGGGGACTTATTCAACACCTGCTGGGTTCATACAAAGCCCAGACCCCCAGGCCCTGCTTCCTTCTCTGGAAGCTCCAGCTGTGACCTTGAACATGATCCATTATCTGGGACCCCTTGGCTGGCACATGGGATGCACATGCTTGTTCTATTGCTTGCTTGCACTTGTTACAGCTGCAGACACAAACTGCTTTGGGCAAAGTATAAGGATCCTGAAAGTGGGTGCAAGTTTATGAAAGGTTGCTTTGCCAGAAACAAGAATGGAGAATCTCTAGCCCGGTGAGGTGTAGGGAGTGTCCCTGCCACCTGGCCCGGCTGCTTGTATCGCCTGGCAAGGAGGGAGGTGGTTTCCAAGGGGCTGGAACAGAGAGGGTGCTGGTGAGCATCGGTAGCTTGGCTGCTCTTGGTGACCTGGGGGAGTGGCAGCTGCTTCCCCACACCCCATCCTCGCAGGTCCACAGCAAGCCCTGGGTCCCTCTATGACGCCAGCCTGGGCTGTGGGATAGGGCTCCTATTTTTATTTGCAGCCAATTGGCCACAGCTCAGGACTTCTAGACAGGGTCTCCATGGCTGGTTGCTCACAGACAACCTAAGTGATAAAGAAAAAACAGGACAGCCTCTGGCCTGGTTCCCTGTCTCCCTCCCTGCCATAACTGGGTCTTAAAGAGCCAACTAAACTCTTCCAACAGACCCAGGAGACATTTCCTGAACTTGGATCTTGACCTTTTCTCTCTCTAGCCATGGGATTTAAGCAAACATCAGCCTTTCTGGGCCTCAGTGGTCCCATCTATAAAATGGGAATAGTAACAGCATCCACTTCGAGGATGGCTAGAAGGTTAATGTGTAAAGTTTTGTGTGACTTGCAGCTGAGAGTTTTGCAACTCAGTGCCTAGCACCGGGGAAGGCAAAGATGAGGGCTCTAAGCCCAACTTAGGTCAGTCCCAGTCCTGGCTGTGTGGCTCTATAACCCAGAGCCCCTCCTTCCTCATGTGTAAACTGCCCCGATGACACGCAGGCGTTGAGCGCAGTGTCCAACATGTAGTCAATGCTCAACCAACAGCAGCTGCGATGCTATTTTTGTCCTATCTACACATTGTGTGCAGTGCTACAAATGGTACTCCAGGCTTAGTGCCCCTTCACTGAAATGGGACCAGAAGTGTGTCGGGCTTTAGAGTTTTTCAGATTTTGAAATATTTGTGTAGTACTATTTTGGCACTCCAGAAGTACCCGATTTCAGATTTTTTGGACTAGGGATGTTCAGTCTGTGCCAGGCAGAGCAGAGAGCACAGGCGATGGGTGCTGACAGACTGGAGACAGGAGACCGCCGTGCCACGTGCTGGAAGAGGTGCAGAGAGGCCCGGGGAAGGTGCTGACATCAGCAGAGGCTCTAGGCAGGGACGGGGAGGGCAGGTTCAGCAAGGGGCAGGAAGAATGGCAGCTTGGAGAGAAGAGAAGCAGCGCTAGGCATGGAGAATTCCCCCCAGGCCAGTGCTGGGCTTTGTGAAAGTGTCACTTTATTTCACCCGGGAATGGCAGAGGACCTAGGTACGAGGCAGGCAAGGAGCTCAGAAGTCCAAGGTCACACAGCCAGCAAGTGTGAGAGCCAGGATCCAACCGGGTCTGTGTGACCACGCAGTCCAGGTCCAGGCCACCTGTGCCGATGCACTGAGCTCTGGGAACACAGAGGCCAGCTCAAAAGATGAAGCAGGTGAGCAGCCCGGGTCAGCCCGTACTTCCTGCTTCCGGGACGGGAGATGCAGACATCCCGGCCGCTTCCATGCCCACACACAGGAAGCGTGGGCGTGGTGACACCCCACAGGCGGAGCCCTCGGGGGACACCAGCAGTCCGCTTCCCTGTGCTCTGCCTTGCTATGGCTCCCTGGGCAGGCAGAGGGTCTGAGCCTCACCCACCAGCCTGAGGACACTCTCAGCTGCACGTCACAGAGCCCCTCCCCAGCCTTTGGGTGTCTGATCTTCAAACCTGGGGTCAGAGCTCTAACCAATCCATGTCCCTTCCAGCTCTGGGCTTCCATCTTGCAACAGAGTGAATCCTACGCATGAGTGAGGACTTGGGCTCAGCTGCATGGTCTTCAGCACTGGTAGCTGTAACATCTACCCTCATGGAGCACTGAGTGGGTGCCAGGCACCGTGCTTAGCGCTTTACGAATTAACCCTCTAGCCATCCTTGACGTGGATGCTGTTACTATTCCCATTTTATAGATGGGACCACTGAGGCTCAGAGAGGCTGTTTGCCTAAATCCCATGGCTAGAGAAAGAAAAGGTCAAGATCCAAGTTCAGGTTGGTCCGGCCCCAAAGCTGTGCTGCCTGCTTCACAAATTCACACAAACATGAGTGGCGTCCACCATGAGCTTGTCACTCACTTGCTTCTCTCCCCTGTTAGGATGTCAGTGCCACAGGACAGGGACGTGGGTTGTTAGTTTGTTGTTGTTGTTCTGTCCACAGCCTTTAGAACAGGGCCTGCCACGTAGCAGAACAAGAAGTGTTTGTTGACTGAACAACTGAATGAATGAATGTGTTTGTTCGGGGTTCAGGGAGGAGGAAGCACGAATCTTGCATACAGAAAGAGGCTACCTGCAGGTGAAGGCTGGAGACCTGAGACCCGGGGGCAGCCCAGAACTGCTTTTGCCTTTGTTCCCAGTTCTGTTTGTCTCTCTAAGGCGAGTGATCATTTCCCAGGTTCTTTAAAATCCCAGGTTTCAGGGAGAGAGGGAAGACAAAGCTCTAATAATAAGTCTTTACTTTCTTGTCTCTGAGGTGATGATTTCCAGGAAGCTCAAAGGCTTTTATAGATGTGATCGATTGGTTCTCAGCAGCCACCCTGAAAGGCTGGTTCAAGCCAGCTAAGGGAGGGTTTAAGGCAGAAAAAGGAGAGAGAAGTGGGAAAGAGATGGAAAGAACCCAAGGGCCTGGCTGTCACTGCAGAGGGCAGACGTGCTCCGTAGCCAGTGGCTTGCACGCCCTCCAGTGTCTCCGATTGCTTAGGAGCGGCCGGGGAGTTTGCATTTCTAACGAGTCACCTGATGGTGCTGATGATCTGGGGAAACCCTTTTTTTTTTCCTTCGGTACCGGGAACCGAACTCACGACCTTGCCCTTGCCAGGCAGGCGCTTTGCCGCTGAGCTAAATCCCCAGCCCCGAAACCACGTTTTGAGAACCACTACCCTCCCACAATCCTGGGAACTATGAACCATCACTGTCCTCATTTTGTAAGGGAGGAAACTGAGGCACAGAGAGGTTAAATAACATGCTCAGGACTGTTAAATAGCAGAGTCACTCCCAAAACTCGGTGGTCCTATCGGGACCCTCTGCACGTTTCCGCAGCCGAGCTCTTAAGCTCAGTGGCCGCACCCAAGGGACGTACAGACTGCCCGAGGCTGTTTCAATCTCACAGCTGTACTTCTGGCTTGTGCAAGCCTCACAAGAGCACCACAAGCCATCTTCGGAGGAAGCAGAGGCCCAGCAGGGCAGGGCCACTTGCTGTGAAGCAGTGGGGCTCATACGGCTCTAAATGAGCTCCACAGGCCACGTGTACAAGTACACACGTGCAAAAGGGGCTCACAGTCCGTTTTCCCGCCACCAGTCCCAGAGACAGACCCGCTTAAAAAGCTTTAAGCCTTTTCCAAGTCAAGAGCCTGTCTTCTGCATTTTGCTGCCTTAACCAGAAAATTGTTAGTCATAATTATTGCCTGACCGTGGCACCACTCACGTGCCTGAAGGCATCTGCCTTTTCGGCTCCCTTCTGGCGAGATCTGTTCTCCTTTATCCTTCAGTAGCCTATTGAGCAGGGGAGGTAGAGTGTGGGGGACGCCCTTGGGCA